GCAGCCATACATAACCGTGCCAGATTTTTATCACATTATAAAGGTTAACATAAGTGTTACAAGAAACATCAATGAGCTAGGCACACTACGTTTGCTTTTGGTTAGATAAGTATGCTTTGTAGTAGTTGATATTCCCTCTAGATAATGGATATGGGCCAGATTCTCTGCTGACACAAAGCAATATAAGTAATTTGAAGGCAGATATGCTGATTTACACTAGCTGCAAATCTAGCCCTAATATCTTTAGATGCAATAAACCGCCTTAAAAAAGTCCGTTTCCTAACTATTATTCAGCCATTCCTCACTGTTGCCAAAGTGAATGCCAAGGTCTGCAGGATTTTATTTATCAAAGCTTCTTTTAAGGCATCTATCATTTTGGCATGCAAGCTTTGCTTTATGACCAGAATCAAACGTTTTCATGAAACAGCAGGATTAATTCTAGCAAAAAATGCCATGTAGTGCTCCTTCTTGCTGTATTATCTGTTCCATCTCTTTTTTTTTTTTTTTTAATGAAAACTGCAGATCACATTAGTAGATGTAAATACTTTTGCTGCTTGGTACTGCTGAACTGTATAAATAGAATTAAAAATATTATACCGCGCATCTCTTTAAATACTGGTTATACCATGCATCTCTTTAAATACTGAATTACTGATAACTCATTGTATTTTTTTATTTATCTACTTGATAAGAAGATAACTAGGTGAAGAGCTAAGCAAATCACATTTCTGTTTGTTATATAAATACAAAATTATTTTACCAATTAGGTGCTATGCTAAATAACATTTTAGTGTCCTGACATTAAACATCTGGAGACAAATAGTACCTAAAACATACAGCCTAATTTTTCTTTGAGGTTTATCTATTTTTACTTACATGTGCTGGATGTCAGCTTATAATAATTACTCTTCTATACACATCTCTAGCACTAATGTGACAGACTGTGAATGCTTCTTGACAATAGAGCATAATATCCTCCTTACAGGCTTCCAACAGCAAGGCTACAATCTTACCGTCGAGTGTATAAACATGTAAAAAGGCTTACTTAAAACATTGACAAATTTCAAATGTATTTGGTTTACTGTTTAAAACCACATACAGATCAGACATTTCTCAATAAATCTAAAAAATACGGCTAAATGTAAAGGACGTGCGATGTCTGTATCCGAGTGCTGCCTGAGCAGCGTGAACAGTAGGTACAACTTTGAAGTATCTGTAAATGATGTCAGGTCATTTGAAAAGTAGCAAAAATTTCCATTTAAAATCTACTACCAACAAATGTTGCTTACAAAGAGAGAATACCAATATAATCACTAAAAAGCATTTCCTAGCATTTTTGTGAGTATGACAAACTGCGTTCATCTGTGACACAGGACTAGACATGGAATTACAGTAGTAGTTCCACTAAAGCAGCAGGAACCTTTGTATTTCTCCACCCGACATTAAAGGCGGCATCTTTTATGTAGGCCTCAGTTATAAATCCCCATGAATTTAGCCAAAGACACTAGAGTTTTATCTTAAGAAAGAGCAAGACGTTATGTACTACATAGCTTTATTTCTCTGTAAGAGAAAGATAATGACTGAAAAATCAGTAAAGACAGGAATTTCACTTAATTAGAAGGACTTTAAAATATGTTAAAACCCACAAAAAGACAAAGCTGCTGTCCTGGAGGATGTCCTATCTAGTACATCACAGTGATGCTTGCTCACATGCCTAAATCCTTTCATCCTTTTATTACTCATTTTTTGATGTGCTCTTAGACATAAAATATACAAATTCTCCCTGTGATTTTTTATAAAAATAATATAATAATTTTATAATATTAATATAATAAGAAAAGATAAATTCAAATAATTTTTTTAGAGTTTTGATCTGATATATGTTTTAGTAGAATAAGGAGAAAATGGAACTTTTATAATATGTAAGATTTTCCCGAATTGTTAGAAATCAGAGAAGCGATGACATTTTAAACAAGTGGCACCGGTTGCCTCTATTCCTGAGTACTTAAATAAGGACTGAAATATTAATAGCTTAAAAGTGTATAATTTAAATGTGAAAGATCTAAGGTTTTTAAATTTTTTTTTTACAGCCTAAGAATATGTGGCTCTTTTCATGTATGAGGGGAAAATCAGAAGACTCTAAGTTTTGACAAATAGAAGATAAAAACAAGTCAGAATAAAGCTAATCAAAAGGTAATCAGGTAAGTCCTTCTTCTTTTTAATAAATTAATGTCACTTAATTCCAAAAATACTACCTAGTAGCAAAAATGTTTTTCAGGTTAAACTTAGAATAAAAAGTACTAAATACCTAATGGAAAATGTATTCAGCTACTATAGGTTCTAACTTACTGAAATAAATCAAGTGCTTTCACATATTTAATTAAAAAGCTAATTTCCTGACCTGCTAATCAGAACTACTGCTGAGCAAACAAAGTATGTTTTATTGAATAATACTTGTCCGTAGCCAAACAATGCATTTATTGAAATTAATACATACAAAAAAATTCTGGAAGTATAAAATATTTTTTTAAATATGTGACAAGTACTGCACTTTCCCCAGATACGAGGACTGTCTACAAGAATCGTACCAAATAAATAATTGACACCATGGCTTGGTTCAAGGCAGTATTTTATTTACTGTATTGCACTTCTGTGCCTGTGACATGAGAGAAATTTTCCTGGGCCTTTCAGGGTATGCAGACTCCTTTTCTTTGATGCTATGATGATGTCAGTGACTGATACTGGAGTATCAAGTTTTTTCTTCAGATATGAATCCAGCAAGAAATAAATTTTGTAGAAACCAGTTACTTATTCTTTACTGTTCTTATCTGCTTCAAACATTTTATTCAGTAAAATATATTTTATAATAAAGAAGACTCGATACTGACTTAAAAGAAAGGTTCTAGGGGTATTCCATTAACATGTGCATGAAACTCTTGAAGTCCGTAATAATTTTGCAGAAAATTGACCCTGGAATATCATCTTAAATTACTATCTTTTAAGTCTGTGAAGAGCAATCCACAGAAGAAAAAATGCTAATCTGAGACTTCTCAGAAATACTTAGGGCAGCTCTTAAATTTTATGAATTAGTACTCTGGACACACTAAGTGACTTCCCTTCATTGTGAACAGTTGCATTGTTTTGTTTTGACTAGCAAAGCGCAAGCTGTAAAAAATACTAGCCTGCGTGGACTGAGGTAGTTTTTTTCCCCAATCAATTAATACTCAAAAATTAATGCATTTCCTTCACCATTTCTTTATGCAATATACAGTTTAGCGTCCTCTTGAAAATTATAGTGAACAGGGTTTTAAAATGGGTATACACTATGCACTAGTAGTAAAATCTGATAGCAATCTGAAAGTCTGAATCCATCTCATGTTCTTTTTGGAGGGAAAAAGAGAGAGAAAAAAAAAAGTCAGGCTGAGAGGCTGGACAGGGGAATTGAACATATAAATTTTGTGATGAAAACTAGTTAAACTTACATGTACTACATAGTCTTGCCATGAATCTTTAGCAGTTGTTTTGCCTTTAAGGCTGGATTTTAATTTCTAGATTTCAATATGCTATAAACGATAAGGGGATGTTGAAGGATAAATTTCTGTAACGTGCAATCATGCCGTATGTGTACATTTCTAACCTTTTTGGGGTGACTATCCTTTTATATAGCCTTGGTCTCCTCACCTTTGTAATTCTGCAGCTCAGAGCTTTGTCCTCTCCTCCATTTTATGGTTTTCTTCTCCTCCATTTTATGCTGTCTTTTCTTAGGTATTGTGTCTATATTTGACAACCATACTAAAAGATAGAGAAAGCCTTATTTTGTCAACCCACCTGTCTGTTGCCGTGCCTTTCTTGTTTCTGGCAAAATAAAAATTACCAGGACTTCTGTCAGCTAGAGCTCTGATGCTCAGAGTTCATCAATTTAGTGGTATTAATTTTTATGCCAAAGTATCAGGCCAGTGACACGGCTTCAGATCACACACCGAAACTGTACGGGTTTGTTCTTCACAGCATCACGAGGCCTAATATCGCACACACACAGTGCGTTAGAAGTAAGGGCCTGATCCTGCAGCCAGCATGATTTTCCTTTTGACCTCAGCTTGGGCACAACTGAGACCTAGGTATACAAACGCAGGCTTTTACAACACAGTGACCAGACAACCCACGGTGCCAGGAAACTGCGAAGGCAGAATCACCCCATCGCCCGTGCTCTGCATCCGTACCGAAGGAGACGCACAGACTGCCGAGCGGGCAGCTGGGTTTGCATAAAAGGACTATGCTAATATCACAAAAAGTAAAAAAGGAAAAAAAAAAAATCCAGTGGTGATCTCAAACGTAGTGTGATTCAAATAAACATAAAATGTGATGCGGTGAGATGTGGTAAAGTCTAATCTTACTGTTCTCACTGCGACAAAACTTGAACTGGCCTCCAAAGCCGGACTGAGCTCTTGGAGGACTGACTGTAATTAGCGAGAGCTGTGGGTACAGATATAAAATTCCTAACAGCTTTTTGATTAAATCAGCGACCAGTCAATTACTGTGAATAGTTCAGATGAACTGAAATGTGTTTGTTCAAAGCTCTTTCCCAGGAAGAAGTCCAGTCCTCTGACAGCACCATCAACCTGCAAATGGATGGCAGCACAGGCCGGCAGATGATCAAAGGAAGAGCAGGCTGGACTCACTATTTTCAATTAAGTTACTCTGGAAATATTCTGCATTATAGGTACTCCTATCTGACCTGCTCTTATTAGCAACACTATTTAAGACAAGTAACATAAAAAAATTTATGAGGGGAAAAATGTTCTGCTCTGTTTTTCTATTATTTTACCTATTTGGCAATAATTCGCAAAGTCGGTTGGTTTTGCACTGTGTGTTGTCTGATATGTATCTGTAGCATGAAAAAAATTACAATCTTTTTTACATCATATAGATGTTATTTTAAAACCATCAATCTGCCAGAGGCCTTTAGCTTTTACTCTTTTTTTTTTTTTTTTTTTTTTTAGGCAGCTTTCAACGTTGAATTTCCCTTTAAGAAATGTTCGGCGGAAATGTTTGTTCAACAAAGGCGGCCAGATTACACAGTAATGTTCTTCTCCATCCAGAATTACCACGCACAAAGAAAAAGGTGATATCGAAAACATTTTGCATATGTCAAAGGCTGTATACACCGTAATTCATGTGACATAGTGAGGCCTTTACCTATGTTTTATTAGTTCAGTCCTAATTTGGTCCGTAGCCGAGATAGAAACACACGCCGTTTCATTGTTTACTTGCAAAATATTAAGATTTTGGGGGGGACTATGGCAACGTTTCAACGTGTAAGAAATAAAACGTTAACGCGACAGGTTAACGCCTCGCATCAGGCATTTATTAGCTTAACACGGAGGTGTTTTTAGGTAGCATTTGTACGTCTTCGCTACATCACCCGCGAAGGCTGGGACCGCGTATCTGTCACCGTTTTACCCACGCCCCAAGGCGCAAAGCCTCCACCGAAACGTGACAGCACCCCTCCTCACAGAAAAATATAACCGCAGGGGGACAAGACACGCGTGGGCGGGAGGAGGCGCCGGTCGCCGAGGGCTCCGCGG